CTGCATAGCACTGAGTCGGCATTGCTGAAGGTTACAAATGATATTCTGCTGTCCATTGATTCTGGGTCATCTGCTATGCTGATACTTTTAAATTTAAGTGCCGTATCTGATACTGTCGACCACGATATTCTTCTGAAATGACTTGAGTGTGTTGTTGGGGTTCAGGGCCTAGCTTCAGAGTGGTTCGCCTCATACTTAAAGGGGAGGACTTTTTCTGTAAATATCTGGTCATTTACTATCCATATTGTGGTGTTCCTCAGGGATCCATTCTTGGCATTCTTTTGTTTTCCCTTTACATGCTCCCCTTGGGCTCAATACTCCAAAAGAAGCCGAAACCCGGCTTTTCTTACTGTCTGGACATATATCGACGAGTGAAATAAACACTGCAAGTCGAGCACCCAGTTTCTGAACCAAATCCGAATCCGGACAAAAGCGCTGACGCCCTGTCTGGATCACATCCCTTAGGTCTTTTACTTACCTTCCTTTGACCCGCGATTCTTCCTACCCCTACCCGCGGGCGGGGGAGGAGCGCGAACCGCGACACTAGCCTTCTGAGCCAGTCTCTGATCCTCAAACCGAGACGGGCTCGGACCCCTGGGTTGTTCGGGATCAGACCTGGACTTCGTGAAGGCCGCTATCCCGGTCTTTCAGCAGGTCAGCCTGATATGCTTGGAGCATCACCATCGTGTGCAATGAAGCGACAGCCCGACCTGCTACTGCTGCGTATGCCCTGGCATCCGAGCGAGATGTCAAGGAGGGGAGTCTTAGAGGACGTCTCACCCATAGAGAGATAGCTGGCCAGCGTCTCTCTATAGGGGCATCTTCTCATAACTGCTTTCGCGCATTGCCTCGATGTTGTCATAACTCGTATGCTGGAATCGATGGATGCGTGAGGAAAAAAAACGGCGTCTTCCATTCCTTCTCAATCTTTATATGGAAAACAGGAAGAAAGGAAGGCTCACCTGAGCTGGAGGGTTATGGCCAGAAAAATAACGCTCATCGAGATACTCGCGACATTACATTCTTCACCCACTTCACGGCAAGTAAAGCCTCGCCGTGGCACGATCCATAATTTCCAAAAGCTCATCATACACAGGGCAGGAGGATTGGGAAGGCTCAGCCTCAGCTTCTTTGCCCTCCTCAGACATGTCCTGCTTTTGCTGGGCTGATCCCAGCAGAGCACTGGCCCCTGAATAAGACAATGTTAATGAAATAACATCATCCTCCAGCGGCTCACTCTCGTGCACAGCCGACGATCGTGAAAGGGAAACCCCCCTTCAAAACTCATCGGCCAGATCCACCTGCGATCCCCATGAGCTCATTCCCTTCCGTGCTTCAGCAGTGGCGGGTCCTGAATCGCGGGAAGCAGATGGCTGCCCCTCTTTCCTCGAAAAAAGAGACAAACGAGACCGGAGCTTTTCCCTTGGAAAAAATGCTCGCAGTGCACGTCGATTGCCCCCTCGGAGGCATCGCGTGCGTGCTCTTCGCCCAAACAAATAACGCATAGATCGTGTGTGTCATCAGATGTTAAACAACATCAACACGGATGCACACATCCTTAACGCTTTGCTAGTGCTCGCCATAATGAGATGAATAGAGATCGCTCTTACCACAGAAATGCACGCTTCAAACAAAACAGTCAATGAAGACGAAGAAGAGAATGATGTGTGCTCCCGGCGCCTATTTATACTATAGTTGCACCGGTAGTGACGTCATGGCTGTCGCCGACCAACGAGTTGGTGTTTTTTCAATGTATGCTTCAGACACGGGTAACGACGAGGCGTTCCCCCCCATAGCGACCCCTAGAGGACGCAGTTTGAAGTTCCCATGAAAGGGAACTTGAAATCGCATCATATGACCCCTTTAAGTATATATTTTTGGAAATTAATGTTGATCCAGGATCATGTCTTGGCAAAATCACGGCAACCGGGTAGGCCTACCATATGTGCTTGCCTAAAAGACGGGGTTATCAGAATCAGAATCAGAATGAGCTTTATTGCCAGGTATGTTTACACATACGAGGAATATGTTTTCGTGACAGAAGCTTCCACGGTGTAACAGAATGTCAGTGACAGAACAAAAAAACACAGATAATAAAAAATTAAAATAAATAAAAAATAGTAAATGAGTAAATAAGGAATAAAAATATACAAATCGACAATGGTATGTACAGGTATATAGCAATAGACAGTTGTATGTACAGGTATATTATGTGCAAATTGAAATGTAGACTGAGTAGTGCATGTTACACACTCTTCATGTGCATGTTAATAGGATTACACTAATATAGGCAAATTTTAGCCTTACCCTGGAGTTGGTTCACCCTCCGCCTATGATTCTATTTACACTATGTTAAAATAGCAGGATTTTCTGCTATTTATTGGGACAATAAAGCCCTCCCTACACCTAGCCTAACCCTACCCGATACTTTATTTTCAACTTTTTGATTATTTCCTTCATTTTTAATTAAAGTAAATGCCTTTCCGATGTGATATGAGATTTTGGTAAAAGGTGGATTCAAACCCGGGTCGATCACATTAAAAAGACCACAGGACACACCTTACCATCTATGCCACTGAAGCTGATAAATTGCCATCTTCTTTTATAGTGTTGACCATCCCTAATCACACGTTTGTGGGTGGAGCTAGTGTAAATAGCCTCTTCCAACAAGGCGGGCTATTTGCACTTAGTGTAAATAGACACTCCGTTTTTTTTTTACTTTCATACATAAAACACACTTCACAAAAAATAAAAACATTAGGGGTGAGCCAAGAAGGAGAACTTGGTTTCAGATATGTAGATTACTGTAACTCTTTGTACATTGGCCTACCTCAGTCTACACTGTCTCAGTTACAGATGGTTCAAAATGCAGCAGCCAGATTCTTAACAGGAACTAAGAAAAGGGATCATATCTCCCCTGTCCTTGCGTCAATGCACTGGCTCCCTATAAAACTTAGTCGACTTTAAGGTCCTTCTTTTTGCATACAAGGCATTGCCTAATTCTGCCCCGGATTATATTTGTGATCTCATTAGGTCATATACAAGCCTCTAGGTCATTAAGATCTAGTGATCAGTTACTTTTATCTGCCACCCGTTCACGTTGTAAAACAAAAGGTGATCTTTTCAAAAGAGCTTTCTCAGTAGTTGCCGCAAAGCTGTGGAACAGTCTACCTTTGAACATCAGAGCTTCTCCATCATTGGACACTTTTAAATCTATCTTAAAGACTTATTTTTACTCTTTAGCATTTGAGTGATGCTGTGTATGTACTTTGAATAGTTTAATTGGTGTTAAATTGGTGTTTTATGAATTTTAATTGTTTTTGATATTTGTTTTATTTTCCGTTGTCATTTTCTTTTTCTCTTTTAAATTCAGTTATTTTTATTGTAAAGCACTTTGGATCAACTACAGTTGTGCTCTATAAATAAAATTTGCCTTGCCTTCTTGGAGACTGGAAGACAGTCTTTTGTGTTCTTCAAAAGTCAACCATGGTGGTCATCTGATATAAGACAAACTATGACATGAGAGGGACACTATTAATCTTAGATCACAGTTATTTAAATTTGTCACAACAACATATTTTATTTTATTTTATTATTAGGTCTCATCTTTGGTCATTATCTGAGTGAGTTATATTGTTGCTATGGAAAATCTTCAAGTTACTATGCTTAAGCTATAAACTGCCATTAGTCTGTTCATAAATGCAGATGAGAAGCTGTTAAATTAAAACAACTTTAATTTGAAACTGTAAAATAGTAAAGAGATATAAACCACACATTAATTGTTATCTGAGTTGTTATCTGTAGCTTAAGTTATATAGGAGTGATTAAATAATGTGACTACTAGATCCTGTATCAGTTTTACATGTTTTTTTTTTTTGGCAAGTGTAAATAGCGATAGAGGCTATTTACACTAAGTGCAAATAACAATGGATTCTATTTACACTAAGTGAAAATAGCAATATTTTTTAACAATATGCTATTTAAGTGCAAATAGCGATTGATTCTATTTACACTATGTTAAAATAGCAGGATTTTCTGCTATTTATACTACTTATTGCAAATAGTGGCAATTATTTGCACCTCAGTATTATAGTACATTATACAACAGTATGCAGTAATAGCGTATTGAGTGTAAATTATAATTTTAATTCAAATTATTAAATGGATGCCACCTTATTGGGACAATAAAGCCCTCCCTACACCTAGCCTAACCCTACCCGATACTTTATTTTCAACATTTTGATTATTTCCTTCATTTTTATTGAAAATGCCTTTCCGATGTGATATCATATTTGAAAAGGGAGAAAAAAAGTTAGGTAAAAGGCGGATTCGAAGCTAAGTCGATCGCGTGAAAAGGACCACGGGACGCGCTTTATCCACGCCACTGAAACTGTTAATTTTGTGTCGTCTTTTATATTCTTGACCATCCATAATCACACATTTGTGGGTGGCGTTAGTGTAAATAGCCTCTGCCAAAGGCGGGTTATTTGCACTTAGTGTAAATAGACGCTTCGTTTTTTTTTACTCTCATACATAAAACACTTTTCACAAAAAAGGAGAACATTAGGGGTGAGCCAAGAAGGAGAACTTGGTTTCAGATATTTGACGATGGAGAGAAACAGGTTAGAAAGAAATATTATTTCATTCCAAATCAGTTTTAGTCCACAGAAAACTTAAAAAACCACATTAAAAAGGTGCTTCATGACAAATGTTCCTAAAAAAATGCATTTTCATTCTTATTTTTGAGCAAGGTGATGGATGTAAAAACTATTCATGGAAGAAGGCATGCATATATGTTTGTGGTTTTAATAATTATACAGTAGTCTCATTTAGTTAGTAATCTAGCTAGTTAGTTTAGTTCATTGAAAAATGTAAATAGTTTAGTTCGTTGAAAAAATGTGTGAAGAAAATGTGGAATTGAAACAAAACTGTTGTTATGAAAGAGACTGTGAGAGAGGGGGGACTATAGTGGGTGGATCTTTGCCAACTTCCTTCTCTCACGGCGTGTACTAGATCAGTCAAGAGTCTAATCGGAGCGCTACACTAGCAATGCGAGTGGCGCACGTGGACCGCAAACTCTCCCGGGGACTTTAAACATTTTTAAAAGACATTTGCTGGATATACAGTTTCACATAGTTTAAAGTTATGTTTCGTTAGTCTTGTGTCTATTCCGATCAAGAAACTCTGTCGTATTTTCATTAAGATATCTGTAATTTTGAACTCGTGCTAAATTAATTTATAGTGAGAATGTGAGCGCTGTCAGAGCAATTTTTTAAGAGTCACTCCACATCATTTGAGCTCATTATGGTGGACAAAGGTCCCCTTCTGACTTCGGCTATCATTTTCTATCTGTCAATTGGGGCAGCAATTTTCCAAGTCATCGAGGAACCGAACTGGGAGGCCGCAGTAAAGAATTATAAAGCAGAAAAGGAGAAGATACTGAAAAAATATCCATGTCTTAAAAAGGCTGACCTGGACCACATTCTAGAGGTAGGATTACAACTGTTTGTGTGACCTTAGTTCTAACAAATGTGCAAAATTACTTGTTGCAACTTGTCTTCATGCTGGAGTGTAAACAGAAAGCATTCCCGTTGTTTTAATACATATAAGTTGTAGCCATCTGTGAGAAGTTTGTGCATTGCATTAGGTTGAAGTATAGTAATTGTAGTAATAGGGAGGAAAATTAAAATGAGTACACATATTCTACTTGCAGTGGGTGGTGTTAGGTTTTTGCTCTCCTGTTTATTGCACCTGCTCTTTTAACCAATTAAATTTATTTAATATTTCAATTTGTAGACATACTATCCATGTCTCCTACAAATATTTTATCCACAGTGTTTTTGCATTTAATAAACTGAACCCTTTTTTAAACTCTTTGAGGCAGCACTCATGGGTCTCTGATAAATTTTTCGCACATTAATGTGCATGTAGTTATGTTTAGGGAACAGACCCCTGTTAATGTTTGATGATGATGGGAATTGCTTATATGATGTTAATATTAAATGTGTCAGCTTGAATTTTAGTAGGATAAAATGTGGAGATGGCACACATGTCTCTTTGGGTCATTTATTTGCCTGAAACCAGAAAAAAATGCATGTAGAAACATTCTCCTGTCCCATCCCCCTAATGTAACTGACATTTGAGTGGATTAGGTATGTGTTGCCCCCAGTGAAATGACCTTTTTCAAACTGTGGTCGCATTCATTTTCACTTCTTTTGTTATGAAGTGTGAGGGACAGAGTGGGGTGAAAGACAACTTTGTGGTGTGAGTGTTAACTTTGTCAGCTGAGGAAGCTGTCTGCCAAATGATTCTTAAACACAACCAGTGCAGCACTTGCAACCCCAGGACAAGGTTGTTACAGCAGCAGCACCTTCTGAATGTATAACTTACAACAATGAATATTAAATACGCCACATAATTATTACGAAGTACCAGCAATGATTATAGGGTTGTGCAGTGGCTTACTGGTTTCTTACATCAACACAGTTCCAGCTTTTCACATTTCTGTAATTTTGTATTCCATTGTTTTTTTTCGATGGTTGTGGTTTTATGATTTATGAAGCAACAAGCCTCATGTTTGAACAATTTTTTTGAAAGAAATAAACAGACCAAAAAAAAAAAAAAAAACATTGCTGTATTTGAGATGGTTGAATATAATTGCTTCTTGGTATATGCAAGTTGCACTGTATTTGAAACGTTTCCATTAACAACAAATAACCATTATGGAAAAATTCTGTGGTTTTATTGTTGTCAAATGAAGATCAAAGGCAAGCAACTGGGGGATTATAATGGTTACTAATATGAAATCTGTGCAGTTTCAATCAAATATCAACCTTGCTGTAGAAAAAGCTACGGTTGTGTTGTAAGATTGTGCTTTTGCTGTTTATAGGTTTCGTTGTTACTGAGTTAGACTTTTAAATTCATAGTTTCTATGAACTGCGTTGTCTTATCCATAATGATAGGACTGTATAACACTAAAACGGTTAATCTGTGAAATACCTGTTTGCTAAATAATTAACTTTCATCTGCCCTTCGGGTTAACCTCATTCTTGTCTGGACTGTCATCCTTTTATGATTCTATGTAAGGCAATGGACTTGGATGAATTTAAAGCAATAACTGACAAGTATGCAATGAACAGGCAGCACCATAGAGAAACGTTATAGGCCTATTTGATAGTCACCTCTGAAAATGTTTTCATAAATGGGGAAAGATCCATCCATTTGAAACTGTGGTCATTCCCTCCTCAAGCCTTACATGACTTTCAGGTTTATAAAGGTGTTGGCATTATGAATGCATTTACAGTCATTTTATAGATGTAATTCAAATTGCTGTGCAGTTTAGGTTTAGCCTGTTGTCTTTTATTTTGTATTTATTTATTTGTTCCATAGACAGTATTACATCAGAAAGAGAATAAAGAAACTGGGCTTGATAACCTGTTAAAAGTTATTTAGAGCAACATAACTGTGCTGCTTTTGCTTATTTGCTTATTTACATAAAATATGGTCCTACCTCACATACTGTCCATTTACTTAAGTTTGACATTAAAATTAACAAGACTGACATCTAAAACATACGTTATTTACATATAACTATACAGATGTACAAATGTATACAAAACTTATTTAGGTTATATGAATATTTAGTTCCTGCATTAATCAGTTAATTCTATTATATTTATGATCACTGAGATTGTTTTCGGTAGCAATTATTTAACACTGTTGACTTTTGTTTTATTTTATTTGAAATTGTAACATGTCATTCCATTCTGGGTGACTTCTGTTGCCAGAACTTTAAAGGATTACATAATTTTAAACAAGACCAGACTTTAGAATCCTAAAGTGAATGCAATTTCTGTAATTGATGCTAATCTTCATAATCCATATGACTGCATTGAGTGAGGAACAGAATCAAAGACTTTTTAAAAACAAAGAATTTGTTTATTTTATTTTATTGTATTTTAGAGAGAAAGAAGCCAAAGTACAAGGGTGAAAAGGACTATTAACAAAAATAAGAAAGGAAAGGAGGTGACGTGTGTGCTGCTCTGCATTTACTACACACAAGTAGTGAACAAACAAACACAACACACACACTGTGAACACACACCTGGAGCAGTGGGCAGCCATTTTTGCTGTGGTGCAGTTGGGGATTTGGTGCCTTGCTTAAGGTTCTCACCTCACTTGTGGTATTGAGGGTGGAAGAGAGCGCTGGTCATTCAATTCTTTCTCATTAATTAGCAACTACATGTCTACTAACTCTCAGAGTACACTGTTAGGTTAGGTTTAGTGTTAGTAGAATAAGTTGACATATACTTGCAAAGTTTCTCATAGTCAGTATGTTGTTTGTTGTGGACACATCAAAATAAAGTGTTAGAAGATATTAAGCAGACAGTCTACTAATATTCTAATGATTCCTAGTTGACATGTAGTTGCAAAGTTACTTGCTGTTAGTAGAATTTCTAAAGTGGACTATCAAAATAAAGTGTTACCAACCAAACAAAGCAGTATAGAGAAAGTCTAATATGCTTTTGCCCATCCTTGAGAGGCTGTACTCTTCAGCACAATGGTATTCCCCCAAAACTCAGACATAAGATAAATCCTTTTAAATCTCAACATAACAACCGTTAACACTAACAAATCTCCCAAAACAAATCTAATATATTAATCTTGTGCAAAAACATACAGTAAAACAACAGTTCATTTCAACATTTACGCTCCTTGCAAAGTCTGAAGGAAAGCATGGTGGGTGTATGAAAGCCCAACGATACCACCCAGAGGTATCTACAGTATATGTCTATAACCTTTTTAATGCTTGGACAAGGCTGAACAAGTCAAGACGTGCCTGGACAAGTATCAGGAGGCAGTCTATATGTATGGGTGGAGCGATTGACCTGTTCATTGTACAAGAAAATAGACTACTGCATGTTTGTTTCTTCTGTGAGTGATTGATTAAAAAGTAAGTTATCCATTTTATATTCTGTGCTGGTCAAACTGAAATATATTTTTTTATTCTGTTATTGTCACCTGTAAACTTTACTAGTTCAAGTAATGACTTGAATAGAGTGTATAATTCGCATGAGTTGCATACTAAGTCTATGCTAAGTCAAATGTTCCCGCTCGTACAGTGGGAACTAAATAAATCTGCTGTAACTGATTCAGTTCTGCTTAGTGTAATCAGTTATTGAGTTTACATAACTTTTTCTGTTAAGTGCAAAGGACTTTCAGTATAAAGATTTTTTTTTCAACTGCCATCAGTCATGTCTTATTTCTAAGTTATTAATAAGTCTCACCACTACCTATATTTATGGATTTTACGTCAGGGCCATTTTATGTTATGTTTGTTACTCCCCTCGAGTTGAATCAAAGGCTCAGGTCGTTCTTGGTTTTAACAGACACTTATTTGGACACGAGTCTTCAACATGTCTTGTAGATTCTAGTCTTGTAGCCTTTTTATGCCCCAACAATGCCGTCAGAACTACGAAAGGAAATACAGAAAACTTAAATTTAACCCTCTAAAAGTGGTGTTTTACACAATAATAATAATAATAAACGAAAAATACATACAAAACGAATAAATAAAGTGCACATTCAACTCGTAAGAAAATACACTTAATTGGCTAATTATACATTAACACACGGTCACATAACTTACACGTTCACATACGGCAAAGCAATTAACACGATAAAACACATACCTCATTGGCCTCTCTAACTCAAGAGGAATAAACTTGGAGGGTTACAGTTTCTTCTTCACGTGTGGCTCTTCTACTTTTAGTGCTAGTTTGTAATACTATCCTGATAGCAACAATTAAATAATTCCCAGGCGGAACAAAAAAATAGGTTCCCCCCTTTTTCTATGGTTTTAGCTGATTAATATGAAATGAATTGACATGTATTAACAAAAATATATGATTTATTCTAATGATTATTCTGAACATTTGAACTATTTATTGAACTTTTAACTGTAAAGTGCATATTATGAACTGAAATAAATGAGAGTTGCCTCTGACGGCAGCTACACAACCACCAAATCACTTGTGATTTCCAAAATGAAGTTATGAACTGTACTAATCTGCTTCCAGTAATGTGACAGTCTTGTGGATTGGTTTTACTAGATGAACTGATTTACTTAGTCTCTTTCCATGGTCATCTAATGTTGAGTCGCTGATTAGCAGCTGCACCTTTCGTACGCATCCATCTTGACTTGGGTACACGGCAGTAACTTTAGCCAGCTTCCAATCGTTTCTGGGTGTTTTGTTGTCTTGTATGATCACTATGTCATTGACTTTCGCATTTCTGTTTGTCTTGTGCCACTTTTGTCTTTGTTGTAGGCTCAACAGATATTCTTTCTTCCATCTTTGCCAAAATTCGTTGGCTAGGTACTGCACTCTACGCCAT